GGAATGCCAGGATGGTAGATGGGGATTTTGCACACTTCACAGAGACTCCTGGCTGTAGGATCACTAAAGTAATGTCATGGCTTTGTTTTCATAGTCAACTCCAGGGAATTCAGAAGGTGATCATCAGATTACCTTTCAATTATATTAATTAGCCCAATTTGACTCGAGTGTATTGGCTCCAGGTCACTCTGCCAGCTGCAGGAGCCTCATTAACTCTTTCCTGCTTTGCTAGCAGAGGATTAACTCTGCTGGGCATCACAGCTACCAGGGCATTGTGTTGGCTAGGGGAAAAAGGTGGCAAGGAAGCAGCAGGAAGGTGTGTGGTGCAGCTGGAAAGGTTTGTGGCATAGCAGAGCGCCCTGGCACCTGCTGGGGAAGGAACATGCTGTGCTGGTGCTGTGCACCCTGCTGAGGGGCTGAGGGACACCAGGGTGACTTCATGCAGCCCCAGGGAGCCAGCACATGGCAAGTAGCTGGTGGTTATCGTCCCAATGAATGCTGTAGTCATGTTGGATACTGAAGAAAGTATTTAATGGCCTAGATAAAAGCATTCTGGTTGTTTAATTGGAAATGTCTTGCTGTTTTACATAGACCTACTGCCCTATTTTTATGAGATTTAGAATTGTGCTGAGAAATTGTTTCCATGGAAGCAGGGATCACTAAAGAAATAATGCACTCCACATTTCCTGCAGGAGTATTCCTTTTACAGCCTGCTGTTCTATATAATTAACTCTTGTAGTGCCATCACATCTTAGCATGGATTAAAGGAAATAATACATTTTAGTTTTCTAGTGTCACAGAGGCATTGTGTGTGTGTGTATTTGGAAAGACTTTTGTGTTTAAAGTAAGTCTGTTCTCTTATTTACAAAGGGAAAAATCCACCAGTACAAAAAAAGTCAATAGAAAAGTTTACATTTATTTTGGAAATTCAGGCAGCTCTGTCAGAGGCACTTAAAATCACTCCTCCTTTGCCCTCCTCTTTGCTTGGTGATGGGTATATTCTAAAACTGTCATCATGCTTCTGGCCACCAACAAATGCAGTTTTTAATTATGGTGACAGCAATGAGAGCCTACCACCAGGAGGGAAAATAGACCATATAGTTTAGTTACCAGTGTTTTTTCTTCCATGTATGACTTCTGACAATTTTTATCTACTTCACTGTGTCAGCAGAAGGGGAAACTCAAGTGATAACATGAGGCTGAGACCAAGCAAACATCATACAAGCCAAGTAGTGTTTACCAAAAAGTTCTGTCACTGCCCATCCATATGGTGCTTTCCAGGCTCCAGGGCAGCCCAGTTTCCAACCATACAGAAATGGCCATTGCTTCCCTGCAGCCCCTTGGGAGCTCTAAGGTTGCAGCAGTTGAGGCTCTGTCTTCCAGAGGCAAGGAAAACAAAACCTACTCTTCCTGAAGTTCATAATAAAGATGAGAGATGGGTGTGCAGGTGATTGTTAAATGGGTGTTTACTTTGAAGAAGGGATGTGAAATTTTTTGAAAAAGCAGATTATAGGTAAATTAATAACTTTGGAATTAAAAATGGGAGCTACTAAACTATTATACAGTAATAATATGACAGGTTGAAATACCTAGCAATTTTCATCATAATTTTTGCTGCAGGTCTCAATTATTTTCTAAGAAAGGTGACTCCTGTTACTTTTATCTGAAGGAAGGAGAAATGGAGAGTGCTATAAGGTGCTATAAAGAAGCCAGGAATAATTTGATGACTGGTCTCATCTTTGCTCCCTCTAGTAGCATGTGTT